AACCAAGACCAAATCAGAAAAACCAATTACAAAGATAACGACTGTATGAGATATACATATACATACATATACATACATATACATACATACATACATACATACATATTGTTGACCCTAGAAACTACAAAAGCCTACGTGGCGCGCAGACCGAGTAATCTATAAGCTAACTACGTCCTTCGGTGAATGCGGGGCGTGCCAACTCGTCGGCCGAGCTCGGCCGACGAGTAAATTTGTTGATGTTGCGTTGGGTCGCGCTACTGACTTCTGCGTCTTGCGATTGCGGCCGAGAAAGGAACACGTCTCGGCCTCTTGGGCTCTCGAACCTGAAGACAAGGTTACTATTCTTACGAAGTTCAATATCAAATTCGGCTTTCAATGTGCCGAATGTAATAACTGTAACACCTCACTTCGCCGAGAAGGCTAATGAGATGACCTTGACCAATAAGGATTTAGAAACCCTTCTCGACCGAGACTTGGACAGGTAATCAATCGTTCTCGCCGCAGTGCTGTTGATGCCAACGGAAGATACTGCGAGACCGACTGACTCTACGGTGACAGAGCTATCTATGCCGACTTAAGATATCGCCGGTTGCTTCCACCGTGCTGTTGATGCCAACGGAAGATGTGTCAGCGAAAAAGGAAAAAGAAAAATCACAAGTTGTGAGAATTTGCGCAGGGCAATTTTGTATTGATTTGCAGGGGGCTTTTCCTGGTGCACAACTTCCCCTATTTATAGCACTGGACCTTAAGTCCGAGTTAGAATCCTATTCGGACTAGGTTTTCATCTCCGGATCAATGTCACCTCGACCAGTCCTATCTTTACTAGGACTATGAATCTAGTCCTTAACTGAGCCGGATTTCCCTTCTGAATTACTGATCCCGTCAAGACTCCTCATTGTACTAGGACTCGGCTGGCGTTCTGACCTAACCGCCCTAGGCTGGGAAGCCCACTAGCCGAGCGGCCTCCCGGGCCGAGAGTGATCCTACCCTCGGCCCAAATTAATATTTTGGGCCCAAACACATATATATATATATATATATATATCCATATATGGACCGGGGTGGTCGCGGACACTCCAAAGATCGAAGAAACACTTGTGATGAAGTACTTTGGAGTATCACCCTAAATCCTAAACAGAGCTGATGAAGGACTGGATGGATAAATTATTTTGAAAAAATAATAGTTAGTTTCCTAGTAGGTATAAAAGCCAGCGTTGGTTGGGTTTTATTCACCGGAGACTAGAATTTGAGTTGCAGACTGCCGCAAAATGAAGAAGATGGGTTGTGTTACTGTACCGTGCTTATGCCTTTAAGCAAAACGTTGCCGTTTGCCCTTTTCTTTATCCTTTTTCCAACTTTGGAACCCCCATTTCTATCTAAAAAATCTTTTCTATCCCTGTTTTGCAGTTTGGCCCTTTTGAATATCCCCTACAGAATATTAAATGCTAAATATATATGATTTCCATTCCATTCGTGCGATAGACAGAGATAGGTAACCCCACTAAGGATGTTCACCGATCGAAACCAATAATAGCATTGCTGGGGATTCTAATATTTTCTTTAATTAGAAAGGAGTAGTTAAATTAAGATTTGAAAAGATTTTTTTAAAGACTTTAAAATCAAGTATGAATTAGGATTTTAAAATATTTTAAAATTGTATAACCAAAGTAGAATTTAACAAGATTTAAAAGAATGTATCTAAATTAAATTATAGTCAATTAGGGTTTGGGAACATTCTCCCCAGAGGAAGAAGGGAAAGACTTTTTTTTCAAAATCTTGAGAAGCATAGGAAATACTTTATCTAGGATGATGGAACTGATGAGGCGATTGATCTTGTCTTTAATAAGAAAAGAGCAAATGATAGGAAAGAGTGGCTTAACAACTATATTCATCTGGAGCTGAAGTGGGAGCCGAATGAGTAGCGTAGTAACTGAGTTAATGATGAGGATGAGGAAAATCACGACGACAAGGATGAGGAGACGCATAAAAACTATACTGCCTTATTTAACAAGAAGTATATAAAGTATTGCATTGCTGCTCTGAAAAGGACAATTCCATCAATAGTTGATGGATTGAAACCCGGTCAACGAAAGATTTTGTTCAGCGCTTTGAAGAATAAGTTAATCGGAATAACAAAATTGGAAGCGTTTTCTAAGTTTGTTGATCACCATAGTTCGAGTAATGTCGCCAGTATAATTATGGGAATGACTCGAAATTATGTAGGAAGCAACAATGCAATCTCTTTATTCTCCATGGCAATTATGGAACACAAAGCCAGGTAAGAATGTCACTTACTGAACAAGCTTGAATGACGTTGATCATGAATGCGTAATGTAACTTAAATTCCATGACCTCCTTATTTTAGTCCGTTTGAATTTGTGGGATTTACAAATATTTTAAACCGTTTTGGAAAATATATTTTAAATCGTAGATAATCATAGCTAAATTGTAGGGATTATTTTGAAAATAAATTAAATCTAACCACCTTTTTTTTTAACAATTATCTCTAATATGAGATTATTGTTAAAAATATATTAGGCATAGACAAGCAGATTATAGGGAATTTGTTTCAATATGATGTGCATTTTTGCTCTGAGATTTTAGGAGGGGATGGCAGGTGATGTAATTTTGGTACAGAAAATGATTAATTCTAATACATATAGCACCAAAATTATTTAAAAAAAAAGTTTAATCAAATCTCTAAAAAACATAGATGTTGATTCTAGAAAATTCAAAAACAAGGCGCCATTTGTTCAATGGATTCGAGCAATGTGGTATCACTATTACATATGGGAGAATCAACCAAACTTAACGAATTAAGTGTAAAAATGGCTAAAAACTTAATTTTCATTCCTACAAGTCAATTGTACAGCTATGGAAGGGAAAATACAAATCAATCAATTACAACAATTTAACGCCTAATCTAATTCCTTTGAAGGTATGGATTGTGATCGTGGTCACGATTCTTTTTTAACATTAAGTCCAATAAATTTGGTGAGATTATCCTGCATCATAAAGAAAAATCCTCTGCATTTGCATACAATACACAAAATAAATCCCTTGAAAAATACAATAATAGAAAACAACTACGGTAACACCTCTAAGGGTGCGTAGCCCACGTGAATAAAAAAATGCCTCAAGCGAGCGGCTTAGGCCATCTCCAACCGATGGCTGGCTAGAGAGCTCGTTTTAACTCTCTGGCCCTCCAAGATTCTCCAATATATTAATATTTTAATGAACAGTACAGAGCCATATTTGCCTCAGTCTCCAACCGAGGGCCAGATGTCTCGTTTTAGCCCTGTCACAAAAAACCATCTCCAACCGAGGGCCAAAGGGCCATAGGGCCAAACATAATTTATTATGTAAAAACTACAACTTAAATTCAAATCCAACGGCTAAGTGACGTCAGCTAGCCATTAGTAGCTGACATCATGCTGACGTCAGCTAGCCGTTGGATTTGAATTTGTTTTTGCTATAAATGGGGTGGATATTGGGATATAATTCACACAACTTTGAATTCAATATATTTCAATTCAATCTCTTTCAATTCAAGTTTGCAATGAATTCCAACTTTGTTTCATATAATTCACACATCATGTTGTTTAAGTTTCATGTTGTATAATTTTTATGTTGGTTAATGTTATTTAATGTTTTTCATATTGTTTAATGTTGTTTCATGTTACTTAATTTAATTTAATGTTGTATAATGGCTTAGGAAGTTATAGGGAAAAAATGGAATTTAAAAAAAAATATGAAACAAATTTTGTGAAATAGAAGTTATAGGAAAAAATGAAATTTAAAAAAAATATGAAATAAATTTTGTGAAATAAAAGTTACAGGAAAAAAATGGAATTTAAAAAAAATATGAAACAAATTTTGTGAAATAGAAGTTATAGGAAAAAAATGAAATTTAAAAAAAAATATGAAACAAATTTTGTGAAATAGAAGTTATAGGAAAAAAAATGAAATTTAAAAAAATATGAAATAAATTTTTTGAAATAGAAGTATAGGAAAAAAATTATGAAACAAATTTTGTGAAATAGAAGTTATAGGAAAAAATGGAATTTAAAAAAAATGTGAAACAAATTTTGTGAAATAGAAGTTATAGGAAAAAAAATGGAATTTAAAAAAAATATGAACCAAATGTTGTAAAATATAAGTTATAGTAAAAAAGTTATAAGAAGTTATAGAAAAAAAAAAGGTTTAAATTCATAAAAACAATTTTTTTTTTTTTGAATACAATGGTTAGTGACTGGCTAACCGTTGGAATTCAAATTAGTGTCGATTTTAACCGACACTGTTCAAACTGATATTATATTAACATTGCTATTAGTGTCGGTTATAACCGATAACCGACACTAATAATATAGTATATATTATTTCTGTTGGCTATAACTGACAGAAATAACAAAACATAAAAAAAAAATGGCCAGCTGCATGCAGTCAGCCCTCCAGCTCTCTCCGATTCCGTGGGGCCCTCCCAAATTCCAGAGCCCTCTGGCCTAGCCCTCAGTTGGAGACGTTTTTCGGGCTATTTTCGGCCCTCTGACCCTCTGGACTCTTCGATTGGAGATGGCCTTAGTGAGTATAATGAAGCTAGTATCATCATATAATATAGTATAGACTATTTAATGCACATATTAATCTATTCAACATTGCTCAAATAAAAATTTATTCGACTGAACGAATCAACACCACTCGACGTACCAAAGGAGAGCTAAGTTTTTATTTTTCATTTAAAGTATTTGGTGTTTTTATTGTCAATTCAATAAAGGGCATATGTATCCGACAAAAGAAAAATAAATGATAAGCACACAACCTACGTAGTCTTTCACACACCCCTTAATCTTGACTTTTATTTTTTATAATGTATTCAATTTGGTTGTTAAAATTAAAAAATAACGTGCCATAAGATAAAAATGGTTCGAAAATAATTTTACAAACAAATACAGCACAGTTGAAAAATAATTTTCTTTTAATTTAGTGGGCGAGGCAAGTGACTTTTTATCACCAAAAAAAAAAATTGTGGGCGGGAAGAGTAACAGTCTGAGTATAAACAGAAGCTCCGAAGAGAACGAGTGCGCTTGGGCCTTCAGCTACCGTGACTTTAGCAGTCTCGACGACTGTCTCACGAAATTCAGCACCACCGGTACGCCGCCGTGGTTGCTCTTCAGAGCACCAAAACGTCCAGACCCAAAGCTCGCCCCTTCTCTCTGACGCTCTCGCCGGTTATGCGAGGCAAGGTATTAATCTCAAACTTGACAAGTATATGCTTTGTATTCTGCAATACTTCTCTTTGTCTTTGGCTTTGTTTCCGTTGTGTCGCCAAACATTTTAGTAATTTTACACTCCATTCAGAAATTCACTCGCTGTTTACATTTTGAATGCAGTCCAACTATTTGTGAAAAGTTGCGAGTAGCAGGTGGGTTGGAGACTTTCGAGTTTCCAGTTCATTTTTTTAGATGAATTATGGTGCTGAGGTGTAGTGGGAGGCACTGAGTCTGAGGGGGAAGATGCTTAATCGGCTAAGTCGGCTGTTGCTTTTGCACTGCTGCTCCGAGAATAAATTGAAGACACAAACTAATACGTACATTGTAGCGCTTTGTGGACCAGTCACAAGCGGCGTTCCTTAGTCACCTGTACAAATTCTAATACAAGTTATAGATGCCCTTGACAATCTTGCATTGATCGATCATTTAAATTTACTAGGCATACTAGTTAAATTACAAGGAGTTATAAACTCGGCCAAAAAGGCAATAGAAAAGGTTAATCAAAAGCTCTTTGATGGGGAAACCATCATCATCCTACACAAGCACAAATGTTAAGCTTTCTCTTAGCAGTCATCAAGATAAACCTTATGTATTGAAAATTTGAAGTTGTCGTCTACATTGAGCAATTTACTTGCAACATAAACATCCCTTAGCGTAGATAATATTGTTTGTTAAGAAAAATACATTATTTTTGTTTTTTGAGTGAAAGTACGATATTCATTAATAACTAAGAAATACGTACATAACAAGGGGGTAAGGTGCTAACAAATGGATCTCGATAAAAACTTTGCCGAGGACTTCAACTCGAAGGAAGGAAAAAAGAGTGTCCCACACTAATTAGTTAACTAATATAGCTATCCTCAAATGGTAGATCAGAAATTAAATCTAGGGATCCTCAAGCCAAAAGCCCAAATTAACTAAAACTATACCCATTCTCACCAACCGATGACGGCGATGAGCCACTTTATTCGATTCTTTTGGAACATATTCGAACTTCCAGTGGGGAAGTGGCTGCAGCATGAGATGAATATCATGCAAAAGGTGCCCAAATGGGCCATTGTTGGCAACGGCATCCCGCTGCGAAGTCTACTTTGATTACAGATTTCAAAGTCTCTAAAATCCTAATTGATTGTTTGTTAAAAAATCCTCATTGATTATCTGATTTTAAAGTCTTTAAAATTTTTTCAAATCTTAATTTAATTACACCCTTCTAAATTAAAGAGGAAATTAGAATGTCTTGCAATTTTTCCATTTCAACGTATCTACGTAATTAATTGTAACAATTAATAGTGTGTTCACGAATCAAATGTACTGAATATTCAACAGGATCCTTTTCGGATGCTTTTGATGAGAATCATCTATGAATCGTGTCCATTCATTGTACATTGTACGGTCAATTTTTATCAAGTACTGTTTGTATTTAATTTTAAATAAAAATATTTAAAATGAGATATGATCGCACGATATATGATGAACATACACAATTAATGGATACCTGAGATCTTCATAAAGAGAATACGGAGATGATCCATTCTCACTGAACATTAGCAACAAATACAATAACTTTCAGCGGCCCAAACCGAAAAAAAAAAATTGAAATCAAGAACCACATTAAAAGTCAAACTTATCAGTAAAACTGTAAAAGAGAATCGTGTAAAGTGATGTTTCCTAAAATAAAGGCAATATTCCTTTATTGCCTTCCGTCATTTTCCTTGACTTCCGTCATTTTCCGTGACGTGAGGGATATACGCAATAGTTGGATCCTTCGATCGCCCTCCGACCTCTCTCCCACTTCTTTTTACTCTGCTTTTTCTCTTTTACCTGCCTAATTTGTTTCTTTCTCTGTCTGCTTGCTTCTGTTGTTTCCTGCGCTACACCGTAATCGCCGAAATGCCCAACAGGAAGCCAAGGGCCAGCCGAAGGGCACTCAAGGACAAAAACCCATCTGGAAATGCAGCCAATATCCTCGCAGGAAAGGTCTTGGATGCCACTCCGAGCCCGATCCAAACACCATGGGACTCCAACCCAGAGAAGGAGAACCACGCGAGCCTCTCTCAGACTCGCACCTCCCCCAAGAAGTCAGCCAAAGTTGCGGCTTCTAAGAAACAGGCCAAGCAGAAGAAGACCCAACCGTCGTCATTCGAGAAAGAACTCGAAGAAATGCAAGAGAAGCTGCAAGCGATGAAGCTCGAGAAGGAGAAAACCTTGGAGCTCTTGAAGGAGAAGAATGAGATCTTGAAGACCAAGGGGGAAGATCTCGCAATGAAGGGCCGAGAGCAAGACAAGCTTCAGATGGAGTTGAAGAAGCTGCAGAAGCTCAAGGAGTTCAAACCCACCATGGTCTGTTTCTTGATCCCCTTTCTTTTCTTCATTTGCGTCCTTATTTCTTCATGTGTTGCATTATCCTCTGTTTGGATGCTGAGAAAATATATTATGGATCTGAAGTTTGGTTTGGTGATTCTTACTTTTGGGTTCTCAAATTTGTTTGGTTACTTGTCAATTGTAAAAAAAATAGAAAAAAAAATCCACGAGGGTTCTTATTTATATGTTCTTAGGGTTTCTGTTCTCAATCCCTTTTCCTGGAATTCGTAATTTTGGGATCCCAGCTTTTGCATACAATCTGCTTTTGGGATCCCTCACGTGCAGGCTAACGGGAAAGGATTGAAGTTAAGTTTTGGGGCATAAATCCGAAATAGATTTTACCACGATGGTTCAAATCCGAATTTTTTAACCACAGGATTATTATTCCGTATATATATCTCTCTCATGCAGTCGTTATCTTTGCAAGTAATTCTTTATTCAATTGGTTGTTATTTTTTGGTCTTGGTTTTTCAATTTTTATGCTTGCAGTTCAAAATTTCATACTCTTTTTTGTTTCCCTTCAGGTGGAAATGGAAATGGAAATGGAAATGGACATGGATATGGAAATGGTGAGGAGCAATCAGAGGAGATTGGGGTACTGCTGCATGAAAAATGCAAGGCTGATGGAGCTCCCCATCGAAATCCTTGACAACATCTATTTGAGGCTACCCGTAAGCTGTCTTTTTACCCTCAGATGTGTCTCTAAGACATCAAAGAACATAGTCGACCGCCCTTGCTTTGTTACACAGCACATGCGACATTTGCTTTCGGCGCAATCTACTTTTGCTTCCGATCAGTTTATGCTTCTTCATCACCTTTTCTACGACTCTCTTTGTGGATTTGCCTTTACACCACTGAAATATGATGGCGTCAGCGCTGCCTTGAAGAGAAGCGAAGACTATGCAATCGTTTCTGATATTGTGTCCACAAAGATCGGTGTTTCTTATTCTTTGAGTTTTGTTTTCTACAACTTGTTTTTCTTTCGAGATCATGGCTATAGTCGTCAACCGTACAAGAAGAAAGAAAGAAGTCCATGCTTCTTATTCAATCCTTTAAAGGGAGAAGTTCTTCCACTCCCAACCACTGACATCCAATTTCCATATAGTTTTTCTGGATCGTGCAAGGAATGGTATGGTATGGGATTTGATGATATAACCATCACTTACAAGATTCTTCGTGTTTCTGGAGATGAAGATTCGACGATATGTCAACTTAGGGCCCAAATTTATGTACTAGGTACCGGCTCGTGGCGAGAGATACCCTCAGTCCCTCCTCGTAATTTAAGCAACAACCATGCATTTGCACATGGAGACCAGCATTGGTTGCTTTATTTACCTGATCACTCAAGTTGTAATAATAGATACGTACTCGGTATATGTTCTTTTGACTACAAGAAAGAGGAGTTTTACTCGACTATTCCTCTTCCCGAGCACATGCAAAGTAAGTATACTCCGCACTATATGGTCCTTTTGTGTCTTCACTTGCTTAATCTTAAAGGACCTTTGGCCGTCGTGGACACTTTATCAGATGACTATATTGAGGTATGGGTGTTGAAGAACTATGATACAAAAGAATGGAGGCTAGATTACAAGATAGAAAACGCAATTGTCAGAGGCGAGCTTATTAACGTGACATGTTGTGAATGGGAGTATGGCATATTCTTCACTAAATCACAAGAGATGCCAGAAAGTATAAGGATTACTATCTTTGTGGATTTTAGATGTGGCTCCATTAGTCATGTAAACTTATTTCCACCCAAACGCTATTGGAATACAAGCATCTTGAGCTATAATGGGACCTTAATGTCCCTAAAAAATTATGGGAAATTGGTGAGACCTGACCCTACTACTGGAAGCATCAGTGTCTAGTAACGGGAAATTTGCCGGCATTGTTTGATGCAGCTGCAACTGCAAGGTAAGGAAAACTTGCGATGTTGACGTTTTGGTGGACCGTTCCATTGTAATGCTTTTATTGTTTTCCAGACTTGTGATTTGTTTTGTTTCTCATTTGATGTTGTGAGTGATGCAAAGGTTATACATTAGATAAGTCTGCTTTCATTTATGTTTTATATAAAAACTGTGTTTTATATAATTGGATTTTGAAAGATAATTGATTATATAAGCAAAAGCTATGAACTATAAATTAAGAATTTCTTATAGATCTTCCAGAGAGAGCAACGTTTCAAACAATTTCATAGACCAAATAAAAAAAATGAAAAATACTGTCATGGAATTCGAAAACCACAGAAGAGCTTAAACCCTAAACCCTAAACCACAGAAGAGCCTTATCTGAGATAGAGTAAGGTCCGGTTCTGGTGGCACCCTGCAGATCTTCCAACCATAATGTGGCTGCTATGCGTCAAATTTGATGGGTCAAAGCTTGGCATGTCTTTAATGTCATCAGGCGGTAAGCTGGAAAAGTTTATCCTTAAGTAGTTCATTTTCAAGAACTTGTAGATCTTCCAACCATGATGTGGCTGCAGCCTTATTTTTCACCTTTTTAAGCTCCTCTTCCGCCTTTTCCAATTCCTTTTCAAGGGCTTTCTCACTCTCTTCAGTTAAGGATACAAGTTTCAGAGATGCTAGATACTCTGGATTGTCTTCGAAACCTTGATGTTTATATATTTCAGCAAATCATCTTTCTTCTGCATGTTGTCCTTTGATAGAATGATGTTTCCCTGACGGTATCTCTTAACAAAATGAAGCTCCGTTCTCGCTTTCAAAGCCTTATCGGCGTGCTTCTTTTGAAGATTTGTCTGCATGCATGATAGAAAATCAGTTAACAGATAGCAAAACATCAATTCTCACCAATCTAGTCTCATATCGTTCAATTCCAAAAATGAACTCACCAATCTGCTCTTGTATTTGTCAATTCCATATTTATAAAATTCCTGAAGAACTGCAGTCACGATAAAAAAATTAAAATCAGGTTATATACGTTTTTACAGCAAATACAAAATAATAATAGTAATAATAATGTTATGTCATACGCTTAAGCCGGCCGTCTTCGTCAAACAAGACCATGTTCGAAGTCTTTATTTTCTTTCCAAGTTTGAACTTTTTTTCCAAACCCTCTTGCTCGGCTTCCCTAAGTTGTTTACCAGACCGCTTGACACGGATGTCTATTGGACTCGTATCATCTCCGTATTTTTTGTACCCCTGGAGCATGTATTACTGTTTTATTAGAAACTGAAAATAATCATAAAATTACAAACCAAATTTTGATGTTAACTTTTGTCAGGAAAATTTTACCTTAATGAAAGGATCTTTGGCCTCTGCATTGTGTTCGGCCACTGAATTAAGAAATTTCAAATACTTGTCCGTCCACTTATGGATTGGCAACTCTGTAATCTTTAACATTCCGTTGCTTTCTTGTATGCACACGTAAGAGGTGTAGTCGCGGTCACCCGATTGGCTAACCTCAATCCTTCCACGAAAACCTTTATACCACGGGCACATTTCCACCGGCAGTTTTTCCATGTTCCCTTCGTAGGCAATTAAATGCATCATGTTCTTGATGATGTGTATTGGGTGGTAATTGGGGACATTGGTACTCCACCCAACTCCAATTCCTTCACACCATTCACAAGGACCATGGGTATTATTGGAAAATACCTACATGGCAAACAAAAAAATCATCCCAAAGAAAACAATTTCAATAATTTACCACCAAAACTTTTAAAGAAGGAAGGAAGAGTAATGTTAGTAAAAATATTGAAACAAACTACATACCTTCCAGGTTTAACTTCTTCTTTGCCTCGTTCATCTGAGCTTTCATCATCAAGGAAAATCAATCTTGTAATACGAGAAAGCTCAATATGTAGATAACGAGGTGCTGATTGGTCTTCACCCCCCTAAAAGTAGAAAGGAAAAAGGAACATATGTGTGTAAAACAAAAGATTGTCATGGAATTTAAGAGTTACATTACGCATGATGAACGTCATTCAAGCTTGTTCAATAAGTGACATTTTTACCTGGCCCCGTGTTCCATAATTGCCATGGGGAATAAAGAGATTGACATTGTTGCTTCCCACATAATTTCGAGTCATTCCCATAATTATGCTGGCGACATTACTTGAACTATGGTGATCGACAGACTTAGAAAACGTTTCCAATTTTGTTATTCCAATTAACTTATTCTTCAAAGCGCAGAACAAAATCTTCCTTTGACCAGGTTTCAATCCATCAGCTATTGATGGAATCGTCCTTTTCAGAGCAACAATGCAATACTTAATATACATTTTGTTAAAAAATTCAGTATAGTTTTTATGCATCTCCTCATCCTCATCGTCGTGATTTTCCTCATCCTCATCCTCATCATTAACTTGGTTACAATCGAGCAATGGGGTATCACTATTACATATGGCAGAATTGACCAAACTTAACGATTTAAGTGTAAAATGGCTAAGAACTTAATTTTCATTCCTACAAGTCAATTGTACAGCTATGGAAGGGGAAATACAAACCAATCAATTATAACAGTATAACGCCTAATCTAATTCCTTTGAAGGTATGGATTGTGATCGTGATCACGATTCAATTTTAACATTAAGTCCAATGAATTTGGTGAGATTATCCTGCATCATAAAGAAAAATCCTCTGCATTTGCATACAATACACAAAATAAATCCCTTGAAAAATACAATAATAGAAAACAACTACTATAACACCTCTAAGGGTGCGTAGCCCAAGTGAATAAAAAAAAATGCCTCAAGCGAGCGGCTTAGTGAGTATAATGAAGCTAGTATAATCATATAATATATTATATACTATTTAATGCACATATTAATGTATGCAACATTGCTCAAATAAAAAGTTATTTGACTAAACGAATCAACACCACTCCACGTACCAAAGGAGAGGTAAATTTTTATTTTGTCATTTTAAATATTTGGCGTCTTTTATGGTCAATTCAATAAAGGACATATGCATCCAACAAAAGAAAAATAAATGATAAGCACACAATCTACGTAATCTTTCACACATCTCTTAATCTTGACTTTTATTTTTTATAATTTATTCTATTTAGTTGTTAAAAATAAAAAGTAACGTGCAAGAAGATAAAAATGGTTCGAAAATAATTTTACAAACAAATACAGGGCATAGTGGAAAAGTAATTTTCTTTTAATTTAGTGGGTGGGGCATGTGACCTTTTCTCACCAAAAAATAAAAAAATAAAAAACTGTGGGCGGGAAGAGTAACAGTCGGAGTATAAACAGAAACTCCGAAGAGAACGAGTGCGCTTGGGCCTTCAGCAACCGTGACTTTAGCAGTCTCGACGACTGTCTCACGAAATTCACCACCGCCGGTACGCCGCCGTGGTTGCACGTCAGAGCACCAAACGTCCAGAGCCAAAGCCCGCACCTTCTCTCTGACGCTCTCACCGGTTATGCGAGGCAAGGTATTAATCTCAAACTTGACAAGTATATGCTTTGCATTCTGCAATACGCCTCTTGTCTTTGGCTTTGTTTCCGTTGTGTCTCCAAAAATTTTAGTAATTTTACACTCCGTTAAGTAGTTCACTCGCTGTTTACATTTCGAATGCAGTGTAACTGTTTGTGAAAAGTTGCGAGTGGCAGGTGGGTTGGAGACTTTCGAGTTTCCAGTTCATTTTTTTAGATGAATTATGGTGCTGAGGTGTAGTGGGAGGCACTGAGTCTGAGGGGGAACATGCTTAATCGGTTAAGTCGGCTGTTGCTTTTGCACTGCTGCTCCGAGGCCATGGCTATTTGTAGGTTTGGGCAATCCCGGTGATAAGTACCAAGGAACTAGGCACAATGTACTATTCCAGATTATACTTTTAGTGGCTACAATTTGAAATTTTTTCAAATCTTAATTTAATTACACCCTTCTAAATTAAAGAGAAATTAGAATGTCTTGCAATTTTTCCATTTCAACGTATCTACGTAATTAATTGTAACAATTAATATTGTGTTCATGAATCAAATGTACTGAATATTCAACAGGATCCTCTTCGGATCCTTTTGATGAGAATCCTCTATGAATCGCGTCCATTCATCGTGCATTGTACGGTCAATTTTTGTCAAGTACTGTTTGTATTTAATTTTAAATAAAAATATTTAAAATGAGATATGACCGCACGATATATGATGAACATACACGATTAATGGATACCTGAGATCTTCATAAAGAGAATACCGAGATGATCCATTCTCACTGAACATTAGCAACAAGTACAATAACTTTCAGCGGCCCAAACCGAAAAAAAAAAATTGAAATCAAGAACCACATTAAAAGTCAAACTTATCAGTAAAACTGTAAAAGAGAATCGTGTTAGTTAATGACAATATTCCTTGACTTCCGTCATTTTCCGTGACGTGAGGGATACGCAATAGTTGGATCCTTCAATTGCCCACCTCGGACCTCTCTCCCACTTCTTTTTACTCTGCTTTTTCTCTTTTACCTGCCTAATTTGTTTCTGTCTCCGTCTGCTTGCTTCTGTTGTTTCCTGCGCTAACACCGCAATCGCCGAAATGCCCAACAGGAAGCCAAGGGCCAGCCGAAGGGCACTCAAGGACAAAAACCCATCTGGAAATGCAGCCAATATCCTCGCAGGAAAGGTCTTGGATGCCGCTCCGAGCCCGATCCAAACACCATGGGACTCCAACCCAGAGAAGGAGAACCACGCGAGCCTCTCTCAGACTCGCACCTCCCCCAAGAAGTCAGCCAAAGCTGCGGCTTCTAAGAAACAGGCCAAGCAGAAGAAGACCCAACCGTCGTCATTCGAGAAAGAACTCGAAGAAATGCAAGAGAAGCTGCAAGCGATGAAGCTCGAGAAGGAGAAACCCTTTGAGCTCTTGAAGGAGAAGAATGAGATCTTGAAGACCAAGGAGGAAGATCTAGCAATGAAGATCTCGGCAATGAAGGGCGAGAGCAGAGCAAGACAAGCTTCAGATGGAGTTGAAGAAGCTGCAGAAGCTCAAGGAGTTCAAACCCACCGTGGTCTGTTTCTTGATCCCCTTTCTTTTCTTCATTTGCGTCCTTATTTCTTCCTGTGTTGCATTATCCTCTGTTTGGATGCTGAGAAAATATATT